CAATGAACCTGCTTTTATTATATATGAATTAAATATTATTGAATTAAATTAAAAATTGTTATTTTATTAATTGTGGTAATTGATGGTACTAATGAATTGATATATAGGTTGATATCCCGGCTCATAAAGTGTGAATAAAATGTAGCCAGGGCAGATTTGAGGGCCGGGTAGCCCGTGATGTCCCCTTACATTTTTGACAAAATGTTCATTTATTATATTTGATCATTTCTTTGATCAATGTACCAGGCTATTTGGAATTATTTTGATAATAATTACTTTTACGTTTGAATTTTATATTAAAAATTATATATTGTATCATCATATGAGGCAAGATAATATGATTAATACTTTTGTAAAATCTTCATTTAATACATGATAGCATACGCATGTTGCGACCACTCAAATATACTGTACACCACATGATCACTATTTTCACTTATATGTAGATTAGTTAATACTAAAGGGTTCAAAACTTATTAATAGAAAATACATACATTATATTTGAGTAGTCGCAACATGCGTTTGCAACACGTATTTAATGAAGATTTGACAAATGTATTATTCATATTATCTTGCTTCATATGAGTAACAAGAATCATACAAATCAGATGAAAGTTTCAATAGTTTAAAGTATAATACATTACAAACAAATGATTAGTGAACTTGTTTTATTGAAATTACATGCATTAACAATGTGTTAACAATATTACACCTATAAATGTATGACATGTCACCGACATTCACAGTATATTTATATAAAATTGATTTCAACAAGTATAAATATTGAAACACTATATACTGTATTGATTTAATTTGATAATTTCTTTATAATTAAAACATTATATTCTATTAATAATATCATAATTACTAACAATTGATATGAATATCTTGATTACATATGCAGTGAATGAATGCATAAATGTGTTGTTATTTTCAACGTTTAATGCCAGAGATAGTGAAGAGTTGGTCGAGAATGGTCTCGTCAGCCATAGTGGAGGTGTCGCCCAATTCCCTGTCATTTCTCGTAATCTTATGGAGTATTCTTCGCATAACTTTCCCCGACTTAGTCTTCGGGAGTCCACTGACCGCTCGGATCACATGGGGTTCGGCCAGCGCTCCGATCCTATCCCTCGCTGTCAACCGATCGTTGCATTTAGTGTTCAAATGGCATATCATTTACTTTGTGGTCAATACCTCTGCGTTTGATATCCGTCTCCAACTCTGCGGTCAATTCGTAGCCGTTATTCAAAACGACAAACACGTGAATGCTTTCCCCTTTGATGGCGTGCGGGGCCGACACAGCGGCCGCTTCGGCCACCGCCCGGTGCTCTACGATAGCCGTCTCCACCTCTACGGTCGACAAGAGATGACCGGAAACGTTGAGCGTATCGTCGTTCCGGCCGGTCATCCAATAGTAGCCATCGGAGTCCCTCTGGACGCCATCGCCCGTCCAGTAAAAGCCCCTAAACTTATGAAAGTAAGTCATTTCATACGATTCGTGTTTGCCATCTATGGTGCGGGCGATGCCGGGCCACGGCTTCTTGAACACCAACTGTCCCGCGGCGGCGCCCTTCAGCTCATTGCCCTCCCCGTCCAGTATCGCCGGAATCACACCAAAGAACGGAAGGGTAGCCGAACCCGGTTTCATAGGAGTGGCGCCCGGCAGGCATGTTATCATAGGTCCGCCCTTTTGCGTACATATTAAGTGAGTTATCAATTAATAGCATTTAAACTTATTATATGAGACGCCAGTTGTTGTTGCCTACCGTTTCCGTTTGCCAGTAGTTGTCAACAACGGGACACTTTTGGTTGCCGACCACATCCCAGAACCAATACCAGGCCTCGGGATTAATGGGTTCGCCCGCAGTGCCCAACACTTTGAGTGAATCGCGTCTGTATTGCCGGACGTAATGGTCGCCAAACTTCATGAGCGATCGGATAGTAGTCGGCGCCGTATAGAAGATATTAACGCCTAACCTGTCGATTATATTCCAGAGGCGTCCGGGGTTTGGGTGGACAGGCGTGCCTTCAAACAGCACTATAGAGCAGGCGTTGGCGAGCGCGCCGTAAACGCTGAACGTGTGGGCCGTAACCCATCCCAAGTCGGCCGTCGAGAGAAACACGTCTCCCTCCGTGTAATTGAATACATATTTGAATGTTACGTAAGCGTAGAGCAAATAACCGCCGATCGTGTGAACGATCCCTTTAGGCTTTCCCGTACTTCCACTGAAACAATCAAATATTTTAATCAAGCAATCATTTTGTTGAGTCAGAAGTTTTCAATTCATGTACTCATATATAGATCATTAAGTTATACTGTAGTTAAGGTTAGAATAGATACAAATGAGCTTGGCGTTATGGTTAAAAAGCGTTCAAAATCTGATTTATAACTAAAATTTATACTAAACAATAATTAGTATATTACAAATAACGCTATGACTTATTCTTACAAAAAACAAATATTTCATTATTTTGTATTATTTGTGCATGGTCAATTTGAGGGTTTTCTTTCCTAGATCCTAGAGTCTCTAGGTTAGATACAGTCATTTATTAACAGTAATATTCATAACATAATTACTAATACTTTTTGGAAAATATGATTAAAAATTTATATTTTATGGCAATTTCTTAATTATTAATTTATTATTTATTACGTATTTCCTTTAATTTCATGTTTACGTTACTGTATTTTGAATTATTTAGTTATTATATAATTTTTTATGACTTTTTTGAAAGTCACCCAAAATGGATTTAAAAATTCATTAAAGCTTGAAAAATATTATTTTTACGATTACATGACTTATTGATTAATTCATTTAAAATTCCTTAATTAAAACCCAGAGTAATATAGTCCGATAGGTTACACACGTAACACATGACATACAGTATGCGTTCATTTGATTCAATTAACAGAAAATAAACATTAATTACAAATACCTCGTGTATAGTATGAAAAGTGGATCCTCGGCCTCCATCCACTCGGGTTCACACGAATCGGAAACACTTTTCATGATGTCGTTCCACAGTATATCCACTTTTGGGTCCCAATTAATGATCGGATTATTGTTCATATCTTGAGTTGTATATAATTTTAGGTGTGGGTTCACTATACTAGCTATCACTTTGTGGTTCCTAGAATCATTTTTCTGGTTAATCATTTTCATGAATAAGACCTTGCTTATAATAATTACAATCTTTTGCATATTTCAAGCGCTGAATCGGCGATGGACTTCAATGGTATGAATTTGTTTGCTCTGTAGGCGCCGTCGGCCGTCACTAATAGTATACAATTGGCATCCATTATACGGTCGGCCAGGGCTTCGGCCGAAAACCCGGCGAACTATCAGATTATTATCATAAGTCATATTAAAACACAAAAAATATTTCTCGTTTGAAATAAAATGCAAACATTTTCAAGGGTAAAGACTTCATTAAAAGATTATTATCTATAATCACATTTGATATCTCAATGTATAATGTACTTGTTCAATGTACTTACTATAACTGAGTGAATGACACCGATCCGGGCACAGGCCAGCATGACAACCACCAACTCGATGGTCACCGACATATAGATCGCAACTCTGTCCCCCTTTTTGATACCCAAACTCTTGAGCACATTTGCAAACCTACAGACATCTCGCAGGAGATCATTGTATGTGACTATTCGGTGCGAATTGTCATCATTTGATTCCCTGTAGTTTTGGGACATTTATTATTTATAAACTTTATAATAGTTTTCAAAAATTCAAAACACGGTTCACTAACCAGTAATAGGCAACTCGATCGCCCAGTCCCTTATCAATAACCCTGTCCAACACATTATAGCACATGTTGGTGAGGGCGCCGTCTAACCATTTCACACAAATGGGTCCTTTGGATACATCAAAGTTATAGGAAACCAAGTCTTTGTTTGGCAATCGCTTCCAATAGAACTCCTTCGCGATATCCATCCAAAAGGTTTCGGGATCTTCGATGGACTTCTTATACAGTTTGCGGTATTCATCGAGACTTGAGATGTGGGCCTCTTTGCGGAACTCATCGTTCGGGTAATATATGTCTTCACGCGGGTTGTCGTCGATTGCCATCTTTCACACCATTCAATAGCTATACACAAAACGTATGGGATTTTAGGCATAACATGAATTTCATAGTAAATCAAATGTTAACCATATGTGAGGCACTGAATGAAATTAACATTAAAAACTTTTTTGGAAACAAGTTTTTAACTGTTAAAGCATTTCTTGCTAATCATAAAATAATTTTTGATATCAATTTCATTCTACTATTGTGTGTCTATTGTGTAATCACTTTTTGAAAATAATATATAAAAATTAAGTTTTTAAAAAGTCAGAGAAAATTTGAGTACACAATAACTATATAAGAGACAATTTCTGGCAAAAATAATCATTAACGTAATCCTTCAAAATAGGGAAAACTGATTGTTTAATAGAAAACAACGTGTATATTATAGGCACTTTGAGTACATATAGGTATTGCCATTCAATGCACGAATAAATTATTGGTAAACTAATCAAACAAAATAAATGATTGAAATATAAAGACTTCAAAACATGTAATCATTTGCGTGAAGAGAGAGTGAAAACTAATATCTGACTTAATTGTGAGTAACATAAAAGTTTGGAGATTTTTTTTTCAATTTTAATGTCAAGATTTAGTTCATTCTGTTAATTATATTTCAATTTAATTCATGAAACAATTTTTATATGAAAAATATAAAATAATTTTTTTACACTTGAAGTACAGAAACATTATTACATAAATTGAATTGCATTTTAATGAACTTAAAGGACTAATTCCTGACATATAAATATCGTAAATAAAAATTTTAGTATTAATTATTGATTTCTTAATTTTATACCCTATTATTTGATTGATTTAGTTGTATGTAAATTATAATTTATTCTCATGAGTATCGCAATGTTGTAATCACCAGTGGTTTCAGTTATTGTTTTTATTAACAATAAATAATTATTAATATAAATAAAAACAACATATTTTTATGAAGGAGAATAATACAGTATATACCGTACACTCGAGTGTATTGTGAAGTGAATTACACTATTTGTTTGATAAATTTAAATTTAAAAATTTTAAGCTTTTTTAAATACTTTTGTAAATACAGTAGTTAAATAAATAATTTATTAAAGCAATTAATCTTTATTCTTAGATTCATTGAATATGAATTTTGATAAAACTTTTGAATTACTTAACATAAAGGTTTGCCGACTTTATCTAACAACACATCAAAATGATAATTATTTTCCTCTACATTATGATTAGTTTTATTTATTTATCCAATACTAGTGACTCCTTATTGTTATTTTTATATAGAAATTAACCCTTTCTCTTTATATTTTTAAAGAATTTATGAAATATAATCAAATAATTAAATTTACAATACAGTGCTTATAAATATCATTTTTTATTTGTTATTAATACCTAATAGACCAATGATTATTAATTTATAGGTTATTAATATTATAATAAATTATTTACGAGTAATATGAGTTAGTACCATTTAATGATCAAGGAACTTTGGAAACTGAAATAAAAATTCTGTTTTCGTTAATAAAAAGCTATAATTCTATCGTTAAAACCTAACAAATGATTTATGAACTTATGGCTATAAAATTAAGTAATAGTTTAGTAAGTAATATTTATAATTATGAATATTTAAATAAAAATTAAATTTTGTAAAATTAATAAAACTAATTTTATTAAATATATTAAATATATAATCCTATTATAAAATTAATTTTATTATGTGTTAATAACAGTGTAATTAACAAAATGGTTTTAGCTTTCCTTAAATTAGTCTTATGACACGAATTGAATTTTCTCGTAAAAATCATGTTTCAAAAAATATTATTTACACTTTTGACGTACACTAGTATAATATTGTATAATATTATATATTGTATTTCAACATAAATATCAAGCGTTATATAAATTAGAAAATAATTGTAAAGCTAATTATTAGCCAATTTATAATTGGATACCTTTTTCTTGTTTAAAGTTTTATTACTTTAGGGCTCTTATCGTCAAACATGAAACGAGAGGTCAGTTTACATAAATTATTGGTTACATCACAAGTAACCACATTTTACGGATTTTAATCATTTTCATTTTAATAATATATTGTATTCTACGTCATATTATAAGTTTTAAATATTTTAATCATTCATTTAATAGCTTAATTTATAATATTAATATAATAGTAAATCGTATAACTTTTACTTATATAAAAATTATTTATTTTTTTAATTATTAATTCTTGTAAATATATATATTTTCTACTACTGGTATAAAAGTTTGTTTACTAGTATGTAAAAATTGCAAATATTTAACAAACCTTTATTGTAAAGTTTACAATGTAAACTAACAAACACAAAAGTAAACTTATTATTGATATACACTTTAGATTAATTCACAATTTAAATAACCCATCAAAACTTATAAAATAACACAAGTGCTAAGAGTTTCTGAACTTTATAAATAATATTTGATTAATTTTTAAAAATTATAATACAAACATGAAATAACTAAAAAAATAATTTTAAATATAGAGTCCAGGAACCTGGTAGAATTTAAGACAATTTTCAGTTCTCATTTTATATACCTTTCAATATTTTCAAATACATTAGTAACTTGTGCATGTACATATTTCAAGATTAAAGAGTTTAATGTTTGTCATTTATTGTATATGACCAGATATTTACTAAATTGGTTGTGACAGGTTTATATACTAGTAATTACTAACTATGTAAGGACCAGTAACATGTGGGTAACTTTTCACCGTGTATTGACCTTGTTTCTAGACTATTCTTAATAAGTTTTATAATTTTAAGTGCAATAAAATATACGGTATTAAGAATTTTTAAAATGATTATTGAAAATAAACATTAAGATCGCGATAACTAGACTTAATTTAAAGTTTATATCAATAATAAGTTTACTTTTGTGTTTGTTAGTTTACATTGTAAACTTTACAATAAAGGTTTGTTAAATATTTGCAATTTTTACATACTAGTAAACAAACTTTTACACCAGTAGTAGAAAATATATTTATTTACAAGAATTAATAATTAAAAAAATAAATAATTTTTATATAAGTAAAAGTTATACGATTTACTATTATATTAATATTATAAACTAAGCTATTAAATCAATGATTAAAATATTTTAAAATTATAATATGACGTAGAATACAATATATTATTAAAATCCGTAAAATTTGGTTACTTGTGATGTAAACAACAATTTATGTAAACTGACCTCTCGTTTCATGTTTTACGATAAGAGCCCTAAAGTAATAAAACTTTAAACAAGAAAAAGGTATACAAATGATAAATTGGCTAATAATTTGCTTTACAATTATTTTCTAATTTATATAACGCTTGATATTTATGTTGAAATACAATATGTACGTCAAAAGTGTAAAAATTATTTTTTGAAACATGATTTTTACGAGAAAATTAAATTCGTGTCATAAGACTAATTTATGGAAAGCTCTTTCTAAAACCATTTTGTTAATTACACTCTTATTAACACATAATAAAATTAATTTTATAATAGGATTATATATTTAATAAATTTATTAGTTTTATTAATTTCACAAAATTTAATTTTTATTTAAATATTTATAATTATAAAAATTACTTATTAAACTATTACTTAATTTTATAGCCATAAGTTCATAAATCATTTGTTAGGTTTTAACGATAGAATTATAGCTTTTTATTAACGAAAACAGAATTTTTATTTGAGTTTACAAAGTTACTTAATCATTAAATGGTACTAACTCATATTATTCGTAAATAATTTATTATGATATTAATAACTTATTAATTAATAATCATTGGTCTATTAGGTATTAATAACAAATAAAAAATGATATTTAT